CCGCATGGAGCCGCCGAATGACCCCGCATGGAGCCGCCGAATGACCCCGCATGGAGCCGCCGAATGACCCCGCATGGAGCCGCAAATTGACTCCGCATGGAGCCGCCAATGACTCCGCATGGAGCCGCCAATGACTCCGCTTGGAGCCGCCAATGACTCCGCATGGAGCCGCCAATGACTCCGCATGAAGCCGCCAATGACTCCGCATGGAGCCGCCAATGACTCTGAGTAGAGCCGCCAATGACTCTGAGTAGAGCCTCCAAATGCTAAATATATTGGTATGCATAACCAGTTGAGAGCATATATTCCATAAATCGGCACTCCCGGAGCGGATCACAAAGTGCAGCTACCCGTGCAATCTGTAAGCGGTGCAAGCTAGGTAAAGACTGTCAGAACTTGATATCATGGGCTGAGGCCATTGCCGCAGCCACCCATACTTTGGCTGCAGGTGGCGTCCGAATGTTACTCGGGCAGACATCGCTTTCCACCTTCCCGCCTCTCTGAATATCGAGCCCCGCAGCTGATTCGAAACGAGTGGCCGGTGTACAACGCCAGGCCAAAGCCACAACTGATGAGCAATATCCTCGCAGTTGCTGTAAATGCCCATCGATTGGCATTCGCAGCTGATGCCGCTAGTTTTCCCAGGTGCTGCGGGCTGCCACAATTGCAAACAACACTTTGCGATTGCTGCTCTGCTTGATTTACTGTCCATCGCCCTATCCCCGGTCGCAATTGTACGAGCACCGGCCAAGTGCACCACTTGCATCAGTGAATACCAGCAAGTCGGGGGACGGCGTCCATTTAGGGTGTAGGAAGAAGGACCGGCCGTTCCGCTAATCCAGGAGTTCAGGCCATCAGCGAAGATCTTCGAGACACTCTTTGGAGAGCTTGATCAGGTAACACGGCTGCCGGTACCAGTTGGCAAGTGACCACAATCTGCAATTTGCATCCAGGGGCTATCACTCTTGTAGCAAACGGGAGCTTTCCCAGAAGAGACTCGAGTTGACATTGGGTAGTTGAAGCTGTGTGAAGAGTGGCCCGAAGGAGATCACGAAGCTCGGCAAGTTCGTCCATAGGCATACTGATGTTAGCGCGGCGGGTGTCCAGGATGACGCCGATAAACATTAGGACGTGGGCTGGACCCTCCACTTTTGCTGACGCCAGAGAAAACACCGAGGTATGTAAACGCGCGGCGCCGAGTAGCGAGTTGCTGGCGAGCTAACACAGGTCCAGAGCGTGCATTGAGGAAGCACTTTTACTGACGCCAGAGAAACACCGAGGTATGTAAACGCGCGGCGCCGAGTAGCGAGTTGCTGGCGAGCTAACACAAGTTCAGAGCATGCATGGAGACAGAAACGTTAGTCGAGGTACTCCCCGTAATGGGATGATGCCAATAACGTCAGGACTTGAGCTGGACCCTCCACTTTTGCTGGGGCCAGAGAAACATCGAAGTATGTAAACGCTCGGAGCAGAATAGCGAATTGCTGGCAAGCTAACACAAGTCCAGAGCATGCACTGAGGAAGTAACGTTAGTTGAGGTATTCCCCGTAATGCAACAGGCCTGTGAGTGCGAACTGCTAGCACATAATCCATTCACTGGCGGATGCGACAGAGTTCCATATAGCTGGACTGGAGCGTTATACAGTTTGAAGGGCAGGGCACTCTCATAAAAGTATTGATCCTGCCAGCGGATCGACAAGGACCAATCCTCCGGGCGGACGGGAATTCGGCAGAATGCACTTTTAACATTGAGCTTAGCAAGATACACCGGGGCGAGCACAATTGTGGAGGAAATTGTTTGGGAACGCATGTTCCGCAAGTTGCATGCTCGAAAGTCGAAAACAGCAATGACATGCAAGAGACATTGTACAGGATCTTGGAGGGCGCATGACCATGTGACTCGCGCATGCGTGCAGGTCGGGCCAGCTCGCTGGGCTGCCTGCTAACTTGCGTTAGCATGCTAACGCTCATTACGGTTTAGATCGCATTATTGTAATGGTCGCGGTTTGATTTCAAAAGACCAAAGAACGTGTCGTACTATCGGTCGAAAGTTTAGGGGTGTGGTACTAATGGGCTGGGAATGTAAGGATCGGGTAGATTGCAGTGTTTTAATGGTCGTAGTTGTTGTATGAATAGAATGCTGAGATAATTAGAAGAGGACTATGAGGAAGAGCAAAATGACAGGGGTGACAGTGTTAAAGCTCTGAGCAGACGGCGTCGGCAGGAGTGCCTACACAGGGAGTAGAAGAAGGGAGAAGAGAGGTCCCGCCGCCTCGAGAGTCGCCGTGCTTGCGAAAGGCTATGCCAACAGCAAGAAGCGACGGAGCAAATATCCCGTCGTTTGGAGACTCACCGCCTTCGTGACAAGACGCGTTGACAGCTAGAGACCGCTGCACAGGCATCCATTCAGCAGGAGAAAATACATGCTCTCATGCTCGAGCTTGTTCGGTGTGCGGGGCCATCATTATGTTACGCACCAGCCTGGCCCTATTCCGTTGATGTTCCGTACCATTCTGGCAAAGACTGCTGGCCACATGTTGAAACAGGGCTTGAAAAAAATGAAATAAGCTAGTACCAAAGCGTAATCTATTATTATATTTACTTTTACTTGGTAGAATGTACCTGTCTGAGAGTTTGAGTTTTGAGTTATGTATCGATGTGCGTTTATGAACTAAAGTTTTGATTGCCATGCACATGTTTTTGTATTGCAAAGACGTTTCTATCAGTTCGAACAACACACATGATGACCTAGGCAAATATTAAGCATAGCGAGGGCTCCTGGGCGGTCAAGCCCTCTCTAGCCTTCAAGCCCAAGCGCTCTTTATTTGTGCGATATAGAAATGAAAAACTAAATGCAATAACAACGATGAACAATTTATTTCAGCCAAGTACAAGTGGGGTCTATTGGTATCCTTTATTTCAGCCGAATAAAACTGTTGTTTATTGCTATCGCATAATGCATGATAACCTAGGCAAAAAAGATAGTGAGGGCCCTGAGCTTTCAACTGAGCTCTCTCGTTGGAATTATTAATATGGAGGTGTATGTGCCAATTTTTCACGTAGGATTGCCTGCCACTTGCAGCACTGCATTGCCTTCTGCAACATGGGGAAAGCTGCGTGCTCAGGCCCGTAGCAGCTCCATTCTGGTTGGTCCAGCGAGACCTGACTTCCACAACTTTGCGTGCTTTTCTTGTGACGGGCATATACATGGTACAAAGTATGTGTGTCTGTGTGTGTGTCTGTGTGTGTGTCTGTGCCAACATGTGCGCAACGGACGACTTGATATACCTGACGAAGCCCGGACTCAGCAAGTCATCCCATGATGAGCGGTTCTTGATTACCCTGTCTGTGAATGGCAAGCCGGTGTCGGGATTATTAGACACGGGTGCAACGCGCACCATCTGCCCCGCCGACGTGGTCAAGCCAGACAGTGCTTGCGACCGTCGTCTCTGTGCGTACGATGGCTCGGAGGTCCCCACTCTCGGAATGGCGGACATCACTGTGGCGGGGAATTCACGTCAAACAGCATGCCGTTGCTTTGTGGTCCCCGAGGGGAAACTGGCACTGTTCGGCCAGGACATCATTTTCCAGCTAGGCTTGCTGCAGATGGTGGAGACGGACACAGCGAACGTAGTCAACGCAGCACCTGTCAACATCCGTGTCAATCCAGATGCAACCCCTACAGCAGTGCCATTTCGTCGCCCAGCATTCTCAGTTCGAGACGACATCGCAGCCGAATTGGAGCGTCTATGTAAAGCGGACATAATCGAGCCTGTCAAAGAGGCAACAGAGTGGGTTTCTCCCATCGTGCCTGCTCGCAAGTCCAACGGCACACTACGCCTTTGCGTCGACTTCCGCCAGTTGAACCAGCATGTCGTTCGTGAACGCAGGGCCATCCCTACCCTGGATGAGATTACGGGGCAAATCCATGGCTCGACAGTGTTCTCCGTGTTGGATGCTGAAGCCGGATTTCATCAGATTGATTTGGATGAGCAGTCCCGGCCGCTAACGACTTTCAGCACCCACAAGGGCCTCTATCGATTCAAGCGACTTCCGTTTGGCATCGCATCGGCGCCTGAGACCTTCCAGCGAATCTTGTCGGATGTGTTGGATGGTTTGGAGGGTGTATTCGTTTACATCGATGACATCCTTATCGTTGGGAAGGACAGAGACGAGCACGATCGACGCCTCAAACTGGTCCTTGAGCGACTCAATGCCGTCAACCTCCGATTGAATTGGCCAAAGTCTCAAGTCCGTCAAGAGTCGGTCCGGTATCTTGGATGTGTGCTGGACAAATCTGGCATCCAGCACGACTCGGCAAAGGCCGAAGCGATCCGCAACATGGCAGCACCGGGGAGCCTCAAGGATGTACGCCGAATGATCGGGATGCTAACCTACTTGGGCAGATTCCTCCCAGGTCTGGCTGAGCACACAGAGCCGCTTCGCCAGTTATCACGACGTGAGCCTTTCCTCGTAGACAAAGAACTTCTTCAGGCATTCAAACAGTGTCAAGACAACGCTGCCAAGCTACTGACCAGATTGGCATTCTTCGATGCCTCGCCCAGCCGTCCCACCGCCATTAGCTGCGACGCTTCACCCGTGGGCCTTGGCGCTATTCTTTGGCAGAAAGCAGACACAGGTGACTGGCAGCCTGTCTGTTGTGCCAGTCGTTCGCTCAATCCAACGGAAGCACGTTATTCCCAGCTGGAACGTGAAATGCTGGCTGTGGTTTTCGGCCTAACCAAGTTCCGACAATATGCCCTTGGTCGCACCGTAGACGTTTTGACTGATCACAAGCCGTTGGTTCACATTGTCAAGAAGTCGTTCGATGAAGTTCCGCCACGGCTTCAACGATGGCTATTGGCTCTGCTGCCCTTTGACTACCAGCTCAGCTTCACACCTGGCCAGACCATGTGTGTTACCGACGCTTTGTCACGTGCCCCCTAGCATCTGCGGAGGCGTCACCAGAGGAGGATAGATCCATGCGCGAATTCGTCGGCATGGTCTTGTCAGAAGCGCCAGTTTGTGAAGCCGATCTCGAGGCTGCTACTGCTGACGATCCATTATTGGCCGCAATAGTCCGCCGGGTCCTCACCGGTGCATGGCGGGACATCTTGCCTGCTGAGGAACCATTCTTCATGATGCGAAGCCAGCTGACCGTCGCAAATGGCATTCTTCTTCTGGACAGCTGGGTTGTTATCCCATCGGCTTTGCAACAGCCGGTTTTGAAGCTAGCTCATGAGGGGCACCCAGGCAGCGCTACGTTCAAAGACACCCTTCGCCGTTCTGTTTGGTGGCCTCGTATGTCACGGGATGCTGAGCAGTTTGCAGCAGCATGCGACATTTGTTGGCGGAGCCGCACCAACCACAGCCAAGAGCTGCAGCCAACGGAGGTTGTTCCAGTGTGGCACAAGGTGGCAGTTGATTTGGTGGAGATCGAAGGCCGCCACCTGCTCTCGTTGGTCGACTACGGGTCTCGTTTCCCGGAGCTGATTGTCCTGCCTGGAACCAAGTCCCAACATGTCGTGATGGCTTTGTCCACTATCTTCGCCAGGTTCGGCATTCCGCTCGAGCTCGTCAGTGACAATGGCCCACAATTTGTGTCCGCCGAAATGGGTGAGTTCCTCTGAGTTCATCACATCCGAGCCAGCCCACGCTATCCACAATCAAATGGCATGGTGGAAAGATTTCACCGCACCGTTCGTGCGAGATGCGGGACTCTCAACAGCCAGATGCCGTTTATCCAGCGTATCCAGCAGGTGCTTTTCTCAATTCGCACCTCCACCCACCGGATGCTTGGTACCACTCCAGCACACGCTTTCTTTGGTCGCCACATCCGAACTCGCGTGCCCAGCGTTGTCAATGCCCCCATCGTCCACCTCGACACCCAGTTGTCACAGAAACTCGGCATGGCAGTACAGCACGACCAGCACCGGGGCGTGAAACCCCTCCCATCCCTGTCGCCAGGCTCTTCAGTGCTCTTGCAGGATGGCCACACAGCCCAGCAACGGAAATGGAAAGTTGTTGAACAACGAGGTCGCTCTGTAATAGTCTCTGATGGTGCACGTGTTGCTTTTCGCAATCGGCGACACGTTCGACCGTGGCAACCCACCTCTAGCAGCACGGGACTGGAATCTCCCGATGTACAACCGTCCAACCAAGCCGTGGTTTCACCGCCTGCCGCTCCGGCTGAACAAGCAGAGCCCCATGCGTCGTCCCCGTCGGTGGCTCAGTCGACGAGGCCATTGGTGCCTCTAGCGGGACAGCCCTCATCTGCACAATCGTCTCCCACGCCCCCAGTTAGCCTCCGGCGATCAGAGCGCACCATTGCTGCCCCAGATAGGCTCAATTTGTAAGCCATTTCTTGAATACCTCATGCCAGGACTGTCCCTCTAAATGAGATCTCTTGTGATCAAACCATCGTATATCGGAACCTGCCTTACACACGTGGGAATCCGTTCGTGTTTGTTCCTTTTCTTCATGCTACTTTCATTTTTATTGACACCCATAATTCCTCGTATGTTTTTTTGTGGTGCCTCTTCCCCATCCACCTTCTTTTCTTCTTCTTTTTTCTTTCTTTTTTCCCTTGGGGAAGGGGTAATGTAGTACTGTACTATGTTCTGAGTCAGTGTGTGCATGCGGGATATTACGCATGCGCACGTGACGATGTCGTTGTTGTTGTTTGAGAGACTGATGAGCAAGAATGTGTTTTCTATGGTAGCTGTGAGACTGAGAGTGTATTCTAGTATCGTGGGACGCAGTTCCTACATCTGTGTGTGTGTGTGTCTGTGTCTGTGTGTGTTGGCGTTCCTCTGGAGCAGCTTGGTGACATCGTCCAAGATCGACAGGGATGGCGGGTCACCTGCCGTGACGCTGTCGACGCTATTGTCCAGTCCCGCATGGAGCCTGTGGTGAAGCCCCTCATTTGTGGCACTTGTGCGCGCAGTTTTCGTCGGCCACAGGATATTGCGACGCACAAGTGTAACGCTGTTCGCGCGGCCCGCGCGCGCTGAGTATGGCGTTCCCCGCCCGGTGGACAACACGTCTCCTGGTCTGCCCCGTATGGGGCCACATAGCCAGTCATGGCAGTGGAAGAAGGAATGAAGGAAGGTGTGTGTGTGTGTGTGTGTGTGTGTGTGTGTGTGTGTGTGTGTGTATGTATGTGTATGTGTGTGTGTGTGTGTGTGTGCATGCATGTGTGTGTGTGTGTGTGTGTGTGTGTGTGTGTGTGTGTGTGTGTGTGTGTGTGTGCGTGTGCCCCCCCCCCACCCCACCAAGTTCATGGTTTCTGGCCCCAACACCTCTAACGACGATCTAGAGCCGCTCGCGACTCGAACCATGGAGATTGCCCATGTGTCGTCTTTTCGTTACCTTGGATCCAACATACACAGCAACGGCCGATGTCATGATGATGTCACATCCCGGATCTCTGTCTTTTCTCCTTCTGTCTGCCTGTCTGTCTGTCTGTCTGTCTGTCTGTCTGTCTGTGTGTGTGTGTGTGTCTCTCTCTCTCTCTCTCTCTCTCTCTCTCTCTCTCTCTCTCTCTCTCTCTCTCTCTTTCCCCCGCTCTCTCTCTGTGTGTCAATATACAGCTTTCACCGTCCAGGAGCGACACTGACTCGCACTGCTATCTGGTGCTCACAAGGTGTTTGTCGCGCTGCAAACGGAGCGTCTCTGTAAGTTTGTATCCCTGGTGATGTTTGGACCTGGAGAGCACTATATAAATGGTGCTTCTCAGGCACAATCTTCCTCAGCCTACTCAAACTCGACTGATGAGGGTAAATTTTCCCGAAACACTGTGTATTGAGCAGGGAGTGGTCCCTTCTTGCAGGTTTTCCGAGAGGAAGGTTGGATGGACTTTTCGTGTGCTCTGGGTGGCAGCTGTCAGTCAGTCAAGTGTAAAGTCAAGGCGGCGAAATAGCGTGAGCTCCAGTGTCGAGAGCAAACCCTTTCCTAACAATCTTCGCCGAAGTCGCAACCACTATTTCGTAGGTCTACCCTTGTTAGGAGACAACCCTGGGGGTATCAACTTTTTTTGTCTGATAACGAGTACATTTTTCTGCTGCTTTGCATCATCCATTTTGTGTCCACATCAGAACTGATGGTTCCTTGTTATTAGACAGTGTTTTCCACCAGACCCCTGTACAAGACAACCCATTATCAGACAATGTTTCATCGGACCCCGATACAAGACAACATGAAATATCAATCGAGCTATCCTCGGCCATCCGCTTTTTCTTGTAAAGAGAATTCAAACCTGTGGGACAGCTGAAGGGGACGTTATAACGAATTTGGTCTACAAACGAATAATCTCTTATCCGGACTTGCATGTACGACTCCTAATGATTCATGGGATTTTGGATCGTTGTCTACTAATGAGGTTTGTCTTGAAACCGATGTCATACTAACGAGGGTAGGACTGTAAATTAAATGCTTGAAAGTTGAAACTTCGTTTTTCAGATGAATCAGACTACAAATCAATAGCATAGCAAAGACCATAGCTATCCCAGGAACACTTGAGTAGTGCCCTCTTTTACCTTTTTCTATGTTGTCCTCTTCAGTTTGAGCAGGTATGGATGTTTCCTAGTGCCTTCTAGAATTTCTAGGTATATCATTGGTCTTGTTCGGATCGTCCATTACGTTTGCAGCTGTTCAAACTTGTATTGTTGTTTATTATTTTATTGATTTATTTATTCTACTTGCCTTTCCTATCTTCTTGTGTTTTAGCATTAGGCGATTTGATCGCAGGACGAGAGAGGAGCTGATGGACGATCTCTCCAATGTTCCTCTTGGTTCGGAGCGGCGCCGAGTGCTGACGTTGGGACTTGGGTAAGGATGAGTGTTCCCTCATGTTTACAAGTTATCCGTTTTGTCCAACACTAACGGTTATATGCAGAATACTGCTGAGTCAAAAATGTGCAACAATCAGCACAAAAACTGACTGATGAGATCATGACATTCAACGACTTGATGCTTAGCTGCATCACGTTTATACCCGTTAGTGTTGGAAAAAACGGATAACTCGTAAACTTATGGTCCTCTTTTTTTAATTTTGATCCTTGGCTCTCCATCCGAGTTCCCTCATGTGTTGCTATTATTTTTATTTACTTATTTTTTTGCCCAGGGTCTACATTCTACATTTATTTTACTTAGACTAGGGTTAGCTGTCCGTTTACCAGTACTCATCCACAGATATTTGCACATAGGGTCTACACAGAACTCTATCAGTAGGTATTTTTGTATAGGAGGTTGTCTATCCTCCGGGATAGCACTATATACTCCCATTCTGTGTGTTCTCTGGTAGCTATGTTCCTTGGAGACCATATGACTGTGCCAGTGTGGTGACCGAGGTGAGGTGTGTCTGCACTGGCATCGTCAACTTGCCTACTGCTACATGCTCCCCAGTGCTCCATCTGTGTCCTGTACTTTATTTGGGGGGGGGGGGAGGGGCAATACCGGTACTTCAGGTGCAGGGGGCAAGGGGGATGGGGTGGGGGACATCATGCCCCCAATGAACCTCTCCAGGCGTTGTTCTGGAGTAGACTAACCATAGGCGGAGTGTACACATGCAGCACATAGTTTGGGAATTAGAACGCGATCAGACTCAGGCATATTCAAAGGCAGTCTATTGTGATAGTAGTCCTGGACGGATCTCACTATGATGATATAGGTCGTGCCCAGCATCACAATGCCCAACATTGTAAATGACTGTTTTTTTTTCCTGAGGGGCTAGATGAACATGTGGCTAGACTGCCGATGGCAACCAACAGGCTCAAGGCTGTGTTGAGACTTCGTGTTTGCGACCCGAGTTAATTGTTTACTCACCATGACTAGGCATCGCATTGGGCATCGTATGACCATTTTATATGTCACTGTTCTTAGTCGCACCGGGGGCGCATGCCCGTTTTCAGGAGACTTATCAAAACACATAAGCCCTGTGCCCTGAAGGTTAGGCCTTTTGTTAGTCTGAATAGTCCTGGCTTCTATCCCGCTAAGTTCATTGACTTTCTACTGAACCTGTATGTACGTGAGGAAAGTACTGTTCTGGCCTGAACTACGGATTTCATCAACTTGGTAGAAGGTTTGCCTGTGCGGGACGATCATTTTTTTTGAGTATAGATGTGACCAGCCTTTACACCAACATCCCCAACGAGCTCGGTCACGTGGCATTGTCGTGATATATCATACACAGGTATACAAGGTGGATGCCCCCGGCCCTTCGTACACGGTTAACAACAGCAGTGACTTCCTTGATGTCAGTCATTCGGAAGACTAACGGGTTCGTGTACGATAACGATTTGTTTCCGCAAATCCAACGGACTGCCATGGGTTCGCCTGCAGCAGATGTCTATGCCGACATTGTTATGCTGTATTTGGAGAATCGGTACATTTTGCCGATCTTAGAGGGGGAGGGTTTAGAGGTTCAGGTTTATAGACGCTTTATCAGTGACATTTTTGTTTCATTGCATGGTTGCGAAGGTCAAGTTCAGCGCGCTTTAGACAGGATTAATAAGTGTTCGGCCCTCGAGTTTGCGCATGAACTGGCACATGATGGCATTGATTTCCTGGACACCACAGTTTTCCGTAGTAAGGGATACATGGCGGTGAAGCCTCATTTCAAGGTCACCAA